ATATCTCTGAGACCACATGAGTCGCCGTCATTTTCTATTCATAGGAGATTTCAAGTATCATCTAATACGCTAGCCTGAATATGAACCTATCACTGGTTATTGTGAGACCAAAGCAAAGTTCGCTGATACGGTACTTCAAGCTGGGACAGCACAGCACAGCACATTTTGCCAATAGACGCGCATAACACCGCGCTCAACTCCGTCGTGTCTAGACTTGTTAACAAGCTGTGAAAAACATGTGTATGACGTTCAGGTCTTAGAACCCCTAGCAGCAAGCCGTAAGTCGACGCTCATAGCCAGTATGGATTTATCTTTACCATATTCTCATCCACTGAAGACAGCTTACAACTACTGGAAAATTAACTTCGACGGTTTAAATCAAGCAGCGCGCCAAGTTAATTGGTCCCTTGCCGCAAGCTGCGTCTGTGGAAAACTGTTAGGCAATTGTTGGAGATCGACATTCCTGTGTTCTCAGTTTGTGCAATTGAACTTTCGGAAAATTGAAGTTTTGCAAGTATTGGACCAGTCAAGCTGCATTGATTCGACAATGAGTATGGCAAAATGGCTCGACAGCGACGCAAATTGAGGAATAAATTCCTCATCTCCAGGTCTTCCTATGACCATGAGGTGTATAAGAGACAGCGGAATATTCGCAATGGTGCAAAAATGAGCAAGGTCCGGCATTTGCAACAGTAGCTCGCAACGGTTACAAAGACCGCTCCGAAAGGACTGTTTGCTTACGTGGAGCGGTGCCTCAAGCCACCAGGTGATCTGCCAACGCTGGAGGGCTTGGACGGACAGCCCCTAATCTCCAGCATAGCGTGCGTTCGCCTTGGCGACGCACTTCGCCTCTTTGTTTGCAATTGACGAAGTGTCCCTACTGAGCTTGACATTTACCGCGCTTACCGAACTCGACAGTCTGGTTTGCTGTATTGAAAAGGTGCCTCAACTACTCGCCAATCTTGACGTCAACAAACCTGCTGGCCCTGACGGACTTCACCCACGGATTCCCAAGTCCCTATCGGCCATTATCTCACCTGCCGTAAATAACTTGTTCAGCAACTCACTATCCAATGGTTCATTGCCGAGCGACTGGAAATGCTCAGTGCTTAAGCCTATTCCAAAAGTCGGAACCCCTAGCAAAGTGAACAACTAGAGGCCATATTGTCCGGCACCAATTTTGGCGAAAGTTGTCGATATTATCGTGAAGAAAGATTTACTAAAGCTGCCCCATTCAGCAAATCTCCTGACGCCCGCACAACACAGTTTTATGCTAGGCCGCTCATGCATTACCAACCTGCTGGTGGCCAGGCATGAATGGTTGCAGGCAAAGAACCAGGGGATGTCTGTCGATTTCAATAAAGCATTAGATATGATAAACCATGTCGTCCTCCTCCAAAAGCTGAGGATGTGAGGTGCTGCTAGATCACTGCACAAGTGCATCCAGGGCTTTCTCGTTGAGCGAAAGTCGACGGTACAAGTCAATAGTCATTTAACTGACTGGTATCCCTCTACTGGTGGCGTACCCCAAGACACAATGCTAGAGTCCACTCTGTTTCTAATCCACATCAACGATCTAATTTCTTCAATAGCCGAGTGCCCTGTTTGCGGATGGTTTGAAGATTTAGAGAGTGATTAGCACCCCAGACTACTGCAGCCTACTTCATCAAGACCTCGACCACCTCTCCATGTGGTCTGCGGAAGTCCGCCTCCCGGTTGACCCATCGAAATCGGTATTTATGAACCTGGGAAAGGGTGGTGACAGTCGAATTTTCACTATTGACAGCCAACCGCTACATGCCACACCTTCCTCGAAGGACCTTGGTGTACTGTCGCGCTGCAATTTGAAGTCTGTGGAGAACACAAACAGACTATATAGTAGCAGATTACGCATTATTTGGGCAATCAAACGCAGCTTTTGTACTTGGTCTGAAGAGGTCGCCCCTGGCCTCGTCTTCCGTCAGAAGACCAATACTGAATTACGGCTCACCTGCCTATTACCCCATTACCCGAGGCGCGAGGCACAGAAAATCGAACTTGCCCAACATTTCTCTACCAGCCTCATTCTTATCGTCGGATGCGAATCGATCTCATCATGAGCCACCGTATATTGCATCTCGGTGACTTCCCCATGTTGAGGCCGCTGCTTCACTTGCACGCCATACAACACACGCGGATAGCGATACAAACTTGTGATGCCGGATATAAAACGATTACCCCTCTCCCTTTGCTTCGTGAAGAGAGTGGTAAGTGTTTGGAACAGTCTGCCAGTACAAGTCGTGGAGGCTGCATCTGTACAATAGTTCGAAGCGTTGTTGAACCTACATTTCACCGCCTTTCGATTCAGAAATTGCATACTAACAATGACTTATTGCATTTGTGAACCCAGTAAAGCTATAAGACACATTTTAAATTGCTTCATAGAAACTTAACTAACGATTAGGCCATCACGGTTTTCAGTCCGTTTTTACAACATTTTTGATTATATTGCGATGGAGTTGTACATATTTAAATTTCTGCTTGCTCCCACACATTATTTAGCATGTTCCTACTCACTGTGCTAGGCTCATCCGTATTTTTTCTGCTTCTAATGACCCCCACTTAGAGACCGGTGCCGAGTGGTCTGCGCGTTTGGTTTGCAACCATAAGGTCACCGGTTTGAATCCGCGTAGGGGTGGGCGTCCTCGCGGTATACTCAGCCCGCACGCGACTGGTGGTGGTCGTGTGGCAGCGAAACGCCGTTACGGCGTACGGCTGACAAACACTTAAAGGCCATTACTGGCATAGTTTAGTCCGTGCGAATATGCTCATTGGTTGAATATTATCTCGATTTTGTTGTGCGGGTGCTCATGATCGAATTGACAACGTATATTTTGAGTCTGGTTACTTTGGTTAGACGATGCTTGAGTGACTGACGCACGCTTCATGTGTATCCCAGAGTGTTATCGGATCCGACTACACCCAGTGCTAGTGTTGATAGAATGCTTCCCAGTCCGATGTTACTATCTGTCACTGGCTCCAGATGACTGCCAATTTCTTCTGGACACAACCAGACTCAAACAGTGATCCCATCATGGAACGGATATCTGGCCAGCAGCCGCCCCCGTGAGTTTTCTGCCCAAGGTTACTCAGCTTTTGCATCGGCGACTCTGGTGTCGAAAGAATGTGACTGGACTTCGTATTAATCGTTTACTCTCTCACACCTCCAGTTCTCCTTTCTTTAAAGTTACAATGTGTGTGAGTGATACATCACAAGCTACACAGACTCAATCTGTAGACTCCTTCATTCTTTGGCTGTTCGCGGTGCGGGTGACATGATTCTATCAACCTACCTCCCCAACCGTTTACAGTTAGCTGGGCTAGGTCAGTTCACAAACAACCTTTCTACCCTTGGTGGCCTCAAAGCTCACTAGTTCCTGAGACTGGAGATTCCGTTTAAACTGCTATCTGTTGTTTTTCCTCACCTTTCAATCACTTTTGTTTGCATTTGAACACTTCAGTTAGAGCTGACTCTTGATCACATTGGATAGGGTACCGATACACACAAATTGTTAGTTGGTGGTGCGGATTCGTGCTATTATTTGACAGCCATGCGTCTACAGATGCTGTCTGCCATTACCGAACTGAGTCCAGTTACCAAGCTTTTTAGGTAGGACTTCGAGTGTTTAAAGTTATTGTCCCACGTTATATTTCTTGTCGGTTAGCTTCGCAGTACATCTTCACAATTGACTCTGTTGTATCCACCAAGTTGACCTAAACCGCGAGATGGTCAGTCAGTGTTGCCGCATAAAGAAATCGATTAAGAGACTAAGTCAGGCTGGTATATGCCGTCCTCGTGGATGTAGACCTCGGGATCGTCCACACTAGTGGTTGGAGACTCTATCAGACATGGCTCAATCAGCGACGTTCCTGCATTCGGATTTTGCATCAAACCATTAATTTTCCATCCTGATTAGTTTAACATACTTCTTTCTCGGTTCCACTTTCTTTGTATGCTATCCTTACCGTTGTCATTTATTGTTATTCTGCCAACGTGAGTCCTGGCAACTGAATCCATTGCACTTCGGTGCCTGGACCGTAGTTGTTCAACCGAACTGAATTGTTTCTTCCTACAGTTTGGGTAGTGTCACAGCTGAATCATATAGTCTACCATATGCGCACGTTGTGCTCTGTATTTTTGTCGCTTTGCGCGTCGACTATTGAATTACTGGGGTTTTGGATAAACTTGCTCATTTACTCAGTTACTTCGCAGCCCTGTTTCAGGGCCAAAGTGCGTTGGTTTCACTCGCCCTGCCTCCTTTTTTGGTAACAGCCTACGAAAATTAACTGACAGAAGTAATTCTATGAGGTTTTGTAAAAATCGACCCACAATCTTTGTAGGCAGTTATTGGGTGTTTTTGACGACATTCATCGTCATTGGCCGGATTGAAGCTTTACGTGTAGGTAAAGTGCGCGCTGTGATTGAGATTGCGTTTTATAATTCAAACTCCTTGAATGCCTCATAAACCCAGTACGGGATGCCATTTTTAGAATTGCACTACTAGCTATTACAAACAGGGAACCGAGCGTGTAGATCGCACTGACTCCAACGCACCTTACCGATTAGGGTTTCTGGTCAGTAATGCGGTCCGTTCCGCATGCTGTATGCCTATGGAAACATCGCCTCCCAACGTGACCAGTTTTTGCAATCAGAGTATTCGTGTCTGCTTACGACATTGATGTCTGGTCACTTTGGCGCTTTACCCAACCTAACTCGTCTACCGCTGACAGGCCAGCGGTTGGAATGCCGTTCAACTTCAACAGACGGTTTAGCGGAATCTCACACGTGACTTGTCATCAAAGGCCGAAGCTCCTTCCTAACCGTCCAAGCTAGAGGAATAAGCGGTAGGCGAGATCAATTTTGTTAGTGAGCAGCATCAAAGGCATGATTGGTATTTTTCAGAACGTCCTCCATATTTTTGGACAACTTATAATCATGTCTCGCCTCATTCTTTATTTAGATGGGCTTTTAGTTCGCCTAATCGATGTCCCGCTTCTTCCTGGGCGAGCTTTCCGCAATTTACAACGGTTGGTGCTCTCAAGCAACAAGGAAGCAACCGAATTTGACGTTGGGTTGTTGCTTTTGGCTGGCCAACAATCTTTAAATCACGTGGCGTTGCAGGTAGCACACACACGTGATTCACTGTTTCAGTCCCTGGCGTGTGCTCAGGCTAGGTTTCCTCGTTTGGAAAACCTGATTCTCGGTAAGTGTCCTTTATGTTTTTTTTCAAACCACTTTATACTTTACTTTTGCTCTTTATGTAAATACATATACGATGAAATCCTGCCTGTGGGTTGGTGCTTCCAGACATGCAGCCTTCAGTTAAATATGCACCATCGACAACTGATCAATTTCAGAGCAATTTGGGGATAAGCACTTTCGCAGCAACATGGTTATCCTGGCATGGTCGACTCCTTCAGTTATTCGAACTTTCACTTTTAACTACGATATTGTGAATGGATAAGCCTACATAATTTTGCTTATCAAACACGTTTTTGTTCATTGATTAAATTAACTTGCTTCCGGTCTATCGTCTTCGCATCGTTAGTCGCTTACGTTGTCTAGGCCATGCCCTCCGTATACCCGTGGACCGGCTTTCTTGGCGTATATTATACGCCCTGGCCGCACCAACTTGCGCGAAACCGCGAGGTGCCCAGTCCATGATGTGGCATAAAGGCATGACGAAATTGACTGAGAGACGTGTTCAAGTTGGTGCGTGCCGTCTTCGTGGATAGGGGCCTCGGGATGGTCCACACCAATGGTTGGAGGTCTTGTTAGACATTTCGCAGTCAGTGGCGTTCTTCCATTAGGTTTCTTGCATCTAGTTGTTAAGTTCCGTTTCGTTCTGATTAATTCGATGTACTTCTTTGCTTCTATTTTCTTTACATGCCGTTTGCATTCAACCCCACTATCTTGACATTGTTATCGTTATTCTTGCGATGTGAGTCGTGGGGACTGGATTCACCGCATCTTGGTACTCAGGTCATAGTTGTTCAGCTAAGCTGCATTGCACTTCGCATCCAACGAGATTATCAATTTCAACTTGAACCACCATTGCTGACAACTTGCACATGGCAGTGCGCAATTTTCGGTCAATTCCTCATTCCTATCGTGCACATCTGGGTAGCAATCATTATCCGTACTTCATCTGAGCCTGTTTTCTATACTGCCTACTGGTCATTTGAGTTCTGGCCCAAGAAGCAATTATCACTCCTAGTCAGACCACTAGCTATGACAATCAAGACCAATGCCAAGTGACAAAATCTCAAACATGCAATGAAGTAAATCTTAAAAACAACTGATATATATATATATATATATATATATATATATATATATATATATATATAGAGAGAGAGAGAGAGAGAGAGAGAGAGAGAGAGAGGTGTTCCGGTTACTGAGCGATTTCCTGTAGCTCCGATTTGCCGCGGATGGCTCCACTATATACCCAGTTTTAGTTATCTCAACCCACTGAAACAGCCTCTTACCAATAGTCCCAGAATTGATTTGTGCACCGGTAGGGTGGCCCTGGCCAGTGGGATGGAGGAAACGACTCGTGTGACCAGGGCCTTGTATTGTTCTCCGAGCCAGACGTTTTGATTACATACGTTCTTTTGCCAAACTAACGAACATTATTAGTGCTGCTTTCAAGGTCTGATACGAGAACTCTCGTAAGCCAATTCCAATTCTACCTGGCTAATTATCCTTTCCTGCTTTGAATGTCAGCGTTCGACGAACTTACCTATGTTGGCCAAGTAACCATTCTAACCCTGTTGATCTGCAACTAATTTCCGACTTTGTCCGCAGTGCTTCATAGATATTCTCTAGCTATAAATGCTTTTTGATTTGGTACTGGCCCGGATGCCAGGCCTCGATGAATTCATGCGCACTGCGGCTTCTTGCTCTTCCATTTGTTTTGACTTTTCATGATCGACTTGACGGCGCTCATCATCCATATGCGATTTCTCGCCACGAGTAACTACTTCTTTCACGGACGTTTGAGAACTTCTCCAATCAACTTAGCTTTGTCTTTAAAGGTCACGGAGCATAATGAACGACAAATGCTACGTCTGTTGGTCACAAATGCGCGCAGTCGAAGTCAAAATATCTATTAATCGACCGACAAAATATGTGCCCATCTAACCGCGAACTCTCCTTCAGACAACCTATTACGGTCGTCTGCTTAACCTTTAGTTCCACTTGCTATTCAGTTAATCACAGTTGATTGGAGCATTTTCTTTTTTGTAAAGTACTCTTGTTCTTAGATCCACTGAACAAAGTGCTGTACAAAATCAGCGGACCCTCCCATTCCACTGCTCTCTACCTGTTCTTTTGATTCCGCCAATGCAACTGAGTTCAGTTCGCCTTGTTGCTGTGCAAATTAACGGCACTTTTTCTCCTATACCACTGTCGCACTCTCGTTGATCCACACTTCAAATGCCATACGTATGTTCTGTTGAAGGCTTTTAAACACTTGCTGGGAGGCGAGTGTACCCACTGTCCACTCCGAATTGATCGATTTCGCTCAGACAAATTGACATGCTACTCTCAATTTATGATACTAATGTCACTTTTGTAACTATTATACACTGACGAGTGGCGACTTGTGATGACGGCTAGCTCAGCGAACCTTTAGCTCTCACTCTCTTTTGTCAGGTCCTGAACGTCTCCCCCCAGTGAACTGCTTCTGCTTTCACTGATTCAAACTATGACATAATATCATCCTCTACCCAGTTAATAGCCCTTAATGGAATTTTCCCGTGCGCGACGCACGAGATCCTAACCATAGGTAGATAACCAACTGCATGTCATCACCTAAGCTAACACGGAGTTTTCTCAATTCTTAGCTTTTACGAACTCGGCAATCGTTCGCCCTTAGTGCACGTTAGATTATTGCACCCGGGACCGGTACGTCTATGTGCTCCAAATGGGTTACGAGCGCTCATCATCTAGTCCTTTCTATTCCCTGATCGCCGCATTCATGTTACATGAGGGTATCCAATCTCACTCGACCGATCACAATAGATAGGAACTGCCCATCCCGTGTGCATTCGTTCATCTACACTTGTTCTAACCCACCCCAATGAACTTCATTCCCTACTTCCAGGTTATCAGGATCCATACCAGTCACGCTTGACAGTCTCGGAGTTGACATGTCTTGGTATTGGTGACTCTCCCGATCATCTTATGCCTTTGTGTTACCTTAACGACCACGGCCTTGCCCTGGTATTTGACTTGTGTCCGAGATTGGTCAATCTTTCCATACGGCATTCACCGTATCTGTCGTCGATTGCCGCCTGGTGCAGCCCTTCTAGGCCTAGTAATTCCGGATCCCGCGACGATCTTGTGTCATCTTCTCAGAGGACAGAAGACGACTCTACATCTACCACTTCGGCCTCACGAAACCAAGTTGATGAAGCGTCCGGTAACAGGCCTGCTACTTCCGGTAGTCAAACTGCTTCGAAACCTATCTCTCACTCAGTGTTACCTTTACGGTCGCTCACATTGGAGAACTGTCCTGGAATCTCTGTGGAGGTTCGTTTGCATTATCATTCTTCACAGCATGCACCATTCTGCCGGGAACCCAACCGGTTTATTGCATTGCCATCTCATTGACTACGTAATTGCATCCCCGAATTGTTCCCATTTTTCTCACTTCTATTTCAGAGCATTGAAGAAGCCATCAGCACAGTAACACCATTTCCCTGTTTGGAAACTCTGGTTCTGAGGGATATGTTTGTGCAGCGTTCAGGATCTCGTTCAGCCTTATTGCCAAGGCCGTCTTGGAGCGAGCGTTTGATTGACGAAGAAATGGTTGGTGTTGTTTCCTCTTCTCCTAACGAATTACCAATTGACGAAATCGACTGGCGCAAACTCAGTCATTTACAAGCTCTTTCCGATCTCCTTGCTGTCCGACGACTAGGACCCTCGCCAGTTTGCCCCGAAGGTGTTGGCTTGGCTTCCTCCGCGAGGGAAGTGACCACAGCAGCTCCTCCTGCTGGTGCCAGGGCGATTGATATGCCCATAAAACAGTTTGACTTGTTTGTACGTTCGACATGTATCACCTATTCTTAGGCGCTTTCGCTAACTTTGCTACCCAGTACTTGAGTTCTCATTTTTAAATAACCGCTTCGGGGCCACTTGATTTTGCCATCCCAACCCGCATGTTATAACCGCCCTGCCACAGATGTTTTTTTATGCCTTGGCTTCTATTCAGCCACGATCACCTCATTGTTTTTGCAATCAGTTATCCGATGTTCTCAGTATATGTCTGATGGTCACTATTCATCGCACCTCGGTGCTTAAACTACAGTGTTCAGTAAACTTCATAGGACGAAAGTCCTTGAGCAGTTATTACCAGCGCCATTATATCACACAAGATTGACAGTACACTTAGGTCACTGATGTCAAAGAGCAGCATAAACCTACACCCATCTTACCATCCTGGGTTTCACGACTTTATAGCGTTAACCCCGGATCGGTTTCATTAACTCGCATAGGCTTCATCTGTTCATTTGGCAGCATGGTCTAACAATTCATCTACATTCCAACACTTACCGAGGAAAACAAACGACTGTCTTCATTCCTCTTTGCGTGATGTGGTGATCAGCTCATCGAGTGTGCAGACCAACAGCCTTGGCTCCCTTCTGCAAATCCTCCCTCTGGCTGCACACAAACCATTGGTAATTAGATTGCGGTGAGCCGTGCCCGACCAGGTAACAAAGCCGCTTCCATCTGGTGGGGAGTATTTCCCATTTCGGAATGGCAGTGCTCTTGACCGAACAGACCTTGTGGCTTGTAAAGAACCATCTATAGTCGCGTGGTATCCAGCCTAATCTGGTCCACTTGTTATGTCATTCGAAGGCCACCAGTTCATTGCAACTGAGTGTTACGCGTTTTAAAGTCCAGATTGTCACCCCGATGTTCAGCAGCCACATGCTTGTCATTAAATCCTTCGGAGTGGTTACATGAAGCACAAATTGGTTGACTGGGTTCGCATTCCGTGAATCGGACAGCATAGCTATTTGCAACGAAATCGGACAGAAATACAAGTCTTAAACATACTGAGTTACACGTTGCCCTTGGTGCACTACCTGTTCATTTTTCTGAACCATCCACTGAGGTTTTGGCTTGAAGTGCGCTTCTCGTTCCACATGCCGATACACACTACAATACCCACAGTGGTTGAGTCTCCGATGCAAATTTATTCTCACCGGCGACCTTCACAAAGCAGCTGTTGATTTTACCTATTTTCTTTAAAATTGAATGGGGGATATTTCTGTTTGTTTACCTTTGGACGCAAAGTTCCAAGCATCATGAACCGACCAGATTGTTTTTACCGATGATTCGCGTTACAGTCTACTTTCATTATCCCACACAATCGATCTATTCCGGCCCCTGACCATCACTTCCACCCGAATTCGAGAGCGAAATTCATGGTTGTTGACGTCAACTCAGTGTGTTGACAAGTGGTATTGCATCTTGTTTACATTGTTATCTTTAAAGAATTATCCTTCACTTTCACCTCACCCACAATTCAGTAATGGGAAGCTTGCAATCTGTTAACTTTCGAACACTAATCTTTCTGCGCACATTTTCTCCCGTGCGGCTAGGTCGGGGATTCATGGTCCCAGTCGCCTCATTGAGCACGCTTTATACAGTGGCATCCTTAATCACTCACCCCGTTCAGCCAATTGTTTTGGGTTGCCCTATTCCATCGCACCTGTGTCGCAACCGGTTTGTCTATCTTTCTTCACTAGTATCACTGATGCATCATACGTGTCGTCACTCCTTTGTTCGCTTTCTTTCGATTCTACCAACATCCTTAGCATGTGCAGAGATTAGGTGTTCAATAAACCATCAGCTAGCATGCAGCACTAGGATACGCGCGAACATCTGCAGCCGTGACATCTTCCCAGCAGGCTGTGAATGTATCACTATAGCTATTTGAATACCATTGTGAAATTTGAAATTTTCAGGCACAAAACGCCCAAAACCGTCAATATTCTATATTAACCTCCCTTCCATCCACTATTGTATTTTGAAATAATTCTCCATCTGATCCCCGTTTTTCTTACCTTTATTTACTTGGTTTTGTTGCAGCATGCCCTGCGAATCCACCATTATCTCAACAGTCTCCTTGAATTGGACGGCTCTTGTGGCCCTCGATCCGTTGGCGTGAACCGAATTAGGAACGCATTGTTCCGTGAAACTGGAAACCACTGCTCATCTGGGGAATCCGTTTGTTCCGCTGACCCTCTCAATGTTAATACTGAATTTGTTTCCCAGTCAACGCAAACCTGTATATGTGGGATACTAGAGTGGAACCTATTTCAGTGCGTTTCTTCCTCCCATTCTGTGCCTTCCTCTTTTGCAAACAGTCCTCCGTTCCGACATCAACAGCGTAGTCCATCGGCTCAGTCGTATGCGATCATTGGACCTCCTGGTTCGCATAAAGCACATCCTTCAGCATCTGTCCCCTGCTTTTCCTCATCTCCACATTCTCGATTCACTCCTGCCTCTACCAGTCAACAGCGACAGCAGCTGGGCGGACCTCTTGCTTTCCACCCATTCCCTCCCTCCGTTCAGCATCATGATTTGCACAAACTCATCACATGCTCAAGTTGGGCCAAACAAGTAGCTCGTCATCCTGCCATATCTAGTCTTTCTTCTTCTCCCTCCCTTATTCACGTGGACTCGGGTGAATGTCTCGGCTGTGCCTCCGATCCTTTGCTTCATCGTAGCGACTCCCTACAGGTAGGCAATGCGCATACATCTACATATCCTCTTGCACTCTATCTGGAATGATTTCGTCGATGTCCACTTTTATTTTTGCTTGCCAATCCACAGCCTCAATTCTTGTCATTTGAAAGGAAGGTCATTTCAGAGTTTTCCTACCTTCGAACTACCATGGTTACGTATGCTGGCTTGGGGTCATTCAATCGAAGTTTACTTTTTCATTGTCAAGTTATTTAGTGACGGGGCGTTTGTGTGCAAGTTACTCAGGTCTGATAACATCCCGTACCGCAGTTATTCTCAACATTACTTTACCGATTTGCAATTTGGATAGGGCACTATCTTCGGTGTTTGAGTGTCCATGTCATCATTTCCATCTGTAAATCGTGTTTGGAGCAACAGATTTCTTCGTATCTGCCTAGCGCACCTACGTTGTCATTCTAATTTGAACAAAAAGCCTACTAAAACAGTCGAAACCTAGTGAGTCTTAGACAAAACTGAACCGCACTTCCGACACTCCGCCTCCTCCAGAAACGGTACGCATCGAAGTGACCCAGTACTTCGGTCTTCATTTTTCCGTATCATGGGATTTAACACAACCATGTGTATGCTTTGCGCTTCCGATGCCGTAGTAGGAGATCGATTGGATTCGACGAATGCGGCCTATACGTCATAGGCGGCGGTGCACGTTCACCAGGATATTCCAGCTATCCGACGAGTCAGCTAACAACCACAAACCGGTAATCTCTACTCTCTGTAGGCACTAATTTCCAAAGATGATTGATCTATTATCATTATGCAAACTCTCACTATATTCCATAGTTTGATGGATAACATTTAGCTGTTCTCTAATCGCGAGGCTTTGCGATCAACTCTTCATACAGCATTCACTTTACATCTTCAAAGTGCAAACAGTCGTTCCAGCACCACCAGTCATCTTCGATCTGTTGGAATCTCGACGGCAATGGGCTGTTGACACTCCTTCGTTTCACCTATCTTGCTTGTTGCACTTATAGCAATGGGCGCGCCACTACGGTGTTCCGAACCTACAACTGCATTCTTGTACTTATGTTGCCTTTGGCACCACATTGTGGTTTCACTTTTTCATGTTTCCGGGTTTACAACCAAGAGCTGTTCTCTTCGGTCACATTGAAAGTTGCCCATTTCAGTCCAAGGACCTGAGGGGCTTCCAATCATTTGGCCATCATTTCCTTCGAATCGTTGCTAGTGTCTGGCGGCGCCATCGTGCTGGAAACAGTGCAGCTGAGTCCTAGACAGCGGTCATCTCCTTGGATCAGCAGTTAGAACTGCTTAAGTTGAGCACGTGCCTACAGACCGCCTGTCGAGCTGACCGATCTTTAACATGACACTGGGAAGTGAAGTCACGAATCATTTGATTGTATGGCGTTGATTCGTCTCGCTATCCAGACTGGTGTCTACCAGGCCCATCTTTCACGGGATGAGCACCAGTCGGCATCGCTAGTGTGTTGGTACTCATTTCCCACCTAGGTCAGCTTCTAGTCCAGCACCGTCCTGCATTGGTTTGGGCGCTCTTACGGTATCCCGGCCCGCGTACGGTCGTTTGTAGGTGCATAGTAACGATGTATCAGTAGGTAGTGCCAATGTACTGCTGATAGCTTTTTGGCCTATCTGTTGGGTAATGCACGTTATGACTCGCGGCGGTATTAGCTATGAAACCACCATTTCAACTGTTTTGAAGTCTGATCATGCGGTTTTGACCAGGTGTCGGCACCTTTATGCTGAAATTCCGTCTAGGTTATTTGGGTGTTACAAATGTCATCTCGTTCCTGATTTGTCGTGTATCAGTGATGCATCATTTCGTGTTACTGCCATCGTTATCGTCACTGTTGTCATTGTTTGGCTTTGATCTATGGGTTGGTAGTGTCTGTTTATGTTTCTTTAAGAAATTCGTAGGGGACTTTTGCTGATTCCTGATTAGGTATACTGATTGACTTTCCGTTACCGGTATCTTCGATGGCACATCACAAATCTGTGCTGTCCATTCTTTCCTAGGCAGGTGACTGATATGTAACTCATTCTGAGGTCATTTCGTTTGCTTTCGCATCTCTCTCTCTCGTTCACAAGCTCCTCCGTACTTCCGCACGTTGGCTCCATTTGCTTGCTTACACTTGGTGTGCGTGTGCCAGTACTTACTGCGCGTAGACAGGTTGTTCCAATGAACATAAGATGCGTTTTGATTCGTTCGGAGAACGAATCAAAACGTTAATTACGAACCCGAGCTACAGGTATTCCGAATCATTGCAAACATAAGATGCCTTGCAACTTAATATTACCCACACCCAGGTTGTACGGTTTTGTCATCACTCATCTACTATCGTAGTTATAGATGGGTGAATGAAGGATTTCTCGGCACTCATGTGTTTAACTTACCTCAACCCAGTCTCATTTTCCTCACATCTAACACCGGCGAGGTTTTCCTGAATCTCCCTAATATGTGAGTGGTCTTAGTGAACACAATTTCCGTACTAGGGTCATTCGCATACCTTCCACTTTAGCTCGGTAAATTCCTCTTTTGTTACCCACGGTTAGTGTGCGTGTGGCTACGGCTTCTTTGTCGTACACTTAACAGTGGCTTTTTAAAACTCCGCCTGACAGAACCTTCTCAGCATGCCTATTTCTACATCGCGTCCGTGTTCTCTGCATGTAAGAATGCCGTTTTTTGCCTCTGAATACGAAGGCACCTTGCAACCAATCACCCACGACTAGCTCATTGACTGTTAGCAAATAAAAGCTTCATTTTATTGTGAATTCAATGCCCCTGGACTCGTCTGAAGACCTCATCTGTGCACTTCAAGTAACTAAACAGAATGAGGTCTAATGTACCCGTCACTGATTTAGCGAAGTGTTTGATAAACCTGGGGACATCACCCATTCTCTTAGCATCTACTCTTACAGTCCCACACCCACGACAATCTGACAGTTCCTACTATCTTCACTGGAGAGACTTTTCATCGCTTGTATCTAAGTATCCATCTCGCTTCGCTAGAGTTGCGCTTGTTGGCAGATGACAGACGTGTTCTGACACCATGGCTCCTGCACTGTTGAATAACTCGATGCACGGATCTACTTGCTTCACTTTGTACTCGTTCTGCCACAAGGTAGACATTGGTGCCTGTGAATCATCATCAATCCTCATGATTGCTGAATAAGTGCCCATATAAATGCTGGTCAAATCACCGGCACAGTCTCCGCGTTCAGCAGGAGCGACTAACCCATGTAAGTTGCTGGCTGCAGCTTGTCTTTCTAGGGCGAATTATGCTGTAATGTAGTACGCCACTCCGTGTGATTGGCGTACTCTTGTGCTCAGCATGCCATCTCATCTAACATAACTCCGTTACACCATCTTCACTTGAGAGGTCCCGGTTGGTCTTTTGTTCCGTAAGTGTCTTAACTATTGATTTTGCATATCTGCGTTTTTTAACTGTTAGCGTCGTCCTTCTTCAGCTACTGATAGGACTTAGTTCATGGGCAACCTTGATGTACTGATTAAGCGGTCTGATTTGCGATTTCCATCTCCCTGGTATCCTGTCCGTATCTCAACCGGCGTACAACCGCTTGCCACTGCATGACAGCGAAGCGTCACTGCAAGACACTATTGACACCTGTACACTTTGCCTTTATATATAAAAAATGCGTTCCTTTATTTGGCAGACTAAAACGATATCAGCAGTATGCTGGTACGCAGTACCGACACTTCGCTGCCGCGCAACCACCAACAGTGGCGCGCGGGCTAAGAATACTGCGAGGGTAGCCTGGTCCCCTACGCAGGTTAGAACCCACGTCCTCGGATTCCAATGCAGATTTGTGACCCTTAGGCCGCGGGCCGTGAGAGTTTTGTCGTTTCTTTACGGTGCATATGCGCTGTGTTCCTACTCGCCTTTGTTTTACCCCCAATTCATCCTGTTAAGTCATTATTTTAAGACAACAGTGGACCGTCATTCAGTTGCTTACTTTCCTTCAGTATATAACTTACTATTTCCCATTCTCGATGCGAATATTTTCTTTTGAATAACGCTAATTTTTTCCAGTAACGGAAGGAGATATCTTATATACGTTATATTAAACAACTTCGTAATTTTGCTTTCTGCTGTCCTATCCATGCGGTATGCTTTCCATTCCTTGGTTTTAATTCAACCATTATAAGTGATCATCCGTTAGCAACAGTGCTTGTCAGTGGTTTCGAGAGTCGATACATCATGTGAACTCTGCTGTGTCACTCCCTGTAAAACAGGTCTCTGCTCGTCACCAGGAAACAGCTCTGGAGCACCGAACTCGCACTTGGCTGGCGCGCGATGCAACTGTGGACACTGCGGAGCTTCGCTGCCACACCGCTTCTTCTCAACCCCTGGTGCTCACTATCTATCAACCTCCGTTCGCCTGTCATAGCAATTTAACCTCCATTCATTTCGAGAAGGTACGTTTCTATATCCATGATGGTTCGGTAGTTTCCTCCTCCTGGTGCGTGCCTTCCACTAGCATCATTTCTCACACATCTCGGAACTACTTAGTGTGTCCTCGATACGTACGCAGCCTTGTAGGCAGACGTCAAGTCATCATTACATGTGCGTTCGTTGGACTGTCCTTCGGTTTCAAAGTCTGATTATTTAATCGATTCGTTATGTTCTATGCGTACTCACTTGCTAGAGTGTTTATAAATTAGGCGGATTATCGGACCCACCTTCCAACAACAACTCACGTTCGTCAGAGTCGTCCCCTTTCCTCGCACATGCTCAGTGTCATCGTAACCTCATCCAACACGTGTTACCTGCGAGAAAATTGGAGCAGCTCGTAGATGTTACATATTCTGGAAGCTTAATGGCAGTACGTGCGTATGGCTGCTGGACCAAGTTCGCGTGCTACCAAAACCGAACCGCTTCCATGATTCTACGGCACACCTCGGGGGCAAAAGGCTTTTTACTGATGGTTTCAGGTTTTTGGTCATCGTTGTCTATGTGATATATTTTCCTGTCCGATGACGCCAACACATTCACAACATTTGACTACGCGGTCGTTTAACAAACATTGATTATCAACTCGGTCCACTGTACCGACGGTTAGGAGTGATTAGGCTGTATTGTTTAGAGCACACTTTGCGTATACTAGCTCGTCGTTTATCGAAAAGAACTTTGTTTTGTTCGGCAAACGTTAGATGGCACATGTTTCGGGGAGTCAGAAAATGGCATTGTTTAATACTCGTCTGAGTGGATGTTGTTGAGCTACCTCACCCTCCAAGCCGGAGTCTACGTTACTCACGTTGCACTTGTCTCTGTGCATTTCAGGATACTGCCCACTATAAACATCAGCGGCGTGTTTTCCCTCATGTTTTGTGCGAACTGCTCATTCTTAGGTAGTGCTAAACTCTTTGTGGTCGCAGAATTCTTTATGACGACAGTCGGTGAAAATCGCAAGACAACTCTAATGGACATCGCCCACTGTTTTTACGACGGCCACACGTTCGTAGCTATAGGTTACATTGCATAGTGTGGACATCTTGACCCGAAAGGATATTTTGAACACTTGAGTTTTACACTCATTCCCACTTCTCCCCTCTTCGGCCCTTGGTTGTACAGTCGCGATCCACAAATAAAATGCGCTAGTGACGTTGATGGACAATGACGATGACAATGCTGATCTACCACCTAGCGTTTACATTGTTTTGGCGTGTAATTGACACGCTCGTTTTTGTTTATGTTATTGCAAGTTGAATCCACTATGTCTGGCATCGTGGAATCAAACCTCTCCAGCGCTGTGTTCGCCACTTCCCCACATTCTGCGTAGTCATATTTCTCCGGTGCTCAGCTAGTACTTATTTTTCTCTCCATTAGGTTGGTATTTCTCATCTGGTCCTTAGCGGTGCTCCACATTTGAAGAACATAACTTTGGAAAACTGCCCCCAGTTGCAAGCGATCTTGTTCAACCATTGGCACACAACCTCCGAAGGGGATACGCGGACGCATCCCCACAGTGTGCCATCGTTGCGTCGAATAAGAGTGATCCGATGTCCCAAGTTCGCCATCTTCCACTTGCTACATGCTGTGTCTGCTCTGTATCCGGCACACGATGAAAATATCTCCATTACTTACCGGTACGTCCTTTTGTTATCCTTTGTTTTGTTCATTTCGTCTCTACCGAAAGAGGCCTCTTACCTTTGAATGCAATGGCCTATTGAGCTTATTCTCCTTGATTTCATCATTGTTTTATTCGTGTGTTAACTGATTCCATTGGGTAGTCCACTCTGTTTTGACGCGGGATCGGGTTTGTGTCCTTCGGAATGACAAAACATTCTACCGAGCAGAACAGAGCACTGCTTGAAACTCCTACTCACGTATTCGATAAAGGTTACTTTGTGGAACGATGGCTGAGTAGGCTGAACGGTTAACTCAGTCTCAATTGTCGGAAATTTATCTTCGAACCGAACCATTTTTTGGGTGGGACGGTTACTCCTCTCCTTACATTTGAATCGTAAATTAAGTAACTAAATAAAAATTTATTCTCGGCGCTGCGAGGCATGCCCGTGTAGTCATGATCACCACTCCAACTAAAACATTTGATTTCCACCCTCTATTATCGGGGCTATTCGACCCTGGTCGGTTTGAAACAGGTCACTAGTGATGATCCACTCTGTCGGAACCTGTTAGATGCGTTGAGGAAATGCTATCCGAATGACTGGGGCTATCACTTCTGCATCCAAAATTAGCCACACGATACCTTGTGTGACTCACTGTGGTGTTCTTATTACTCTTATCTGCGTGATAACTTCAACAGTTCACTGATCTTGGAAACAGCCAATTCATTGCGAACTAGACTAAGTCCCTCTCTTTTAATGTTTGAACATACCATATTTTTATGTCTCAGACACCTCAACAGCCTACCACGGCAGTCTCGCTTATCATGAGTCGGCCGATGGCCAAAAGGATTGCGCACCTGCGTCGTATTCATGAGGTTGCCTATACGAATTCACGTAGTTGCGGCCTTCCTCACGGTGTACCCAGCCCCCGTGCATCTGGTGATGGTCACGTAGCATCCAACCGTCGATACGGTGTGTCGGCGTGCTGCTGATGCCTTTCGCTTACCCTGTAAGCGACTTTGGATTAACTTTATTGCACCTATTTATAGTGTGTATAGAACTTTCATTTTATTCTGAAATCCCTGGGCTATCGGAAACTGATTTGCTTTTTTTCGTCAAGCGCAGTGTGTCATGACCGTGTAATCAGTCCATTTTTCCCCACACCTTTCTTGAGTGAGAGCTGAGTGGAAGGTTGTCACGCCACGAGTTCTTATTCTTACAGCACGCTCGATGTAGTCGATCGGTTCATTTGTCAACGTGCCGATATCATGCCTGGTAGTCAAACTACTGAAGGTTTACTGATCGCATCTATGAGGTGTGCATGATTTTTGTTTCACTTATGTGACCTGTGAGATATGGAATCATTGGTCCCAGGTGGATTGTACAGCTTATCCGTTCGATTACTACTATCGTAAGATCGGAGACAGCCAATGCACAGTGAGGACATCGAGGGACTGGCAGTGTTAGGCCTCAAATTCCATCGGAGTCTCGCACCTTATGAGCGCGCTTTATGAATGGTACCGGAATCTTATGCTACTAGTCTTTTCGAGCTAGCGGTGCCCACAATTGGCCATATTCACCGCATGTCTCCTGACCGGATGCTTCGGTGCGCGTTGCCGTAAAGAAAGAAAAAGAAAAACGTATCAGTAGTAGGCCGGTACGCAGTACCGACGCTTCGCTGCCGCGCAACCATCACTGGTCGCACGTGGGTCGCCCTGCCCCTACGCAGGCTCGAATCCGCGCCGCAAGATTACGGGACAAGCTCGTTACCTCTGGGCCGTCGTTTCACTTAGTTAAGTGAAACCGCGAGTGCCTTCGTAAGATCCAAACATATTGGAAGAAGGTTTAAACTTTTGGCTCTTGTTTTGTTTCTCATCCTCCCAGGCGAGTAAGATCTGAACACATCTGAATATCAACTTTCATAGTCCCACTGTTATGTGTATCAAAACTAGCTTTGACTGGTCCTGTAAACCAGCCTTCCTATTAGTCACAGCTTTTGCTTCTTCCTTGGTTATCAGAACTGGTCTCGGTGTGCCAAACGTATGTGAACGTTATTTGAGTTCTTTTGCTGTCACTAACAGGTCGGTTACCGACCTTCGTCCGTCATCTCGAACTCACCGAGTGCATTGAGTTTACTGACTACCTACAGTGTGCCTCAACCGAGCCTGCATTGCGCTCTATCGACTGGTTTGGAAAGGGGTGCGTTTCCACTGGCTGTGTGCGAAATGATCAGATCCCACTCAGCTCCGCCGTCACTGTGTGAGCTAACGCTCCGATCTCCCTGCGCTGATTGCAACGGCAGTAGTGGCGGTAAACCATTGCGACGCACCGGTGTTCCGTTGTCGTATTCGCTTCGTCTTATGTAGTAATGATTTCCCAGAAGTAAGAAAACATTCCTTCTCTGCTTGCGTTTATGTGTCTTATTTTTCGCGTAATATCCACTGTCCTTTGGCTACCTTGCATCTTCCAGACTGCACACGTCGTGCCGTCTGCACGATATTGTGGAACAATGAATCGCGGTATATCGCTAGTAACTGCCATTCTCAACGACCTGCACCCGTCGTCCATGGCTTAGTGATTTCACCCGTTCACTGGTAAGAGATAGTCATGGCTCGGAGTCTATCATGGTTTGCAGGAAGTGCGCGCCGTCGACAAGTCCCATTAGGCTGAAGCGACAGTTTAATGCTTTTCCAGTTCTGTGTTGACTGACAATCTGTCTGCAGTGAATCTTCTCAAAAACACCGAAATCCCCCTTCATTGCTCTCCGTGACATTATTTTCTCTATTTTGTCTGCATCCCCAACACAAGATTGTCCTGTTTTACTCTCGTTTATCATTTTTTCTTTCACCTATTTGAAGTTTACTTTTCGACGGCGCAGTTGACTGTCCCACCTTTCTCCTTAGCTCTCTCTTTACTGGCCTGTTCACTGTACACAGCTGCTTTCTACCATCCTAATTACTTTTACAGGCCCTTCGGTCGATACAATGAACAAGTTGAACGCGCGCTATGGTTGCGAGCACATCATGCTCACGTTTTGGTCTCACACGACTACAAACAGCACGAGAGCGAACGACAAATGGAAGAATTCCATTCCACATTTGATCAGCTGTTTCGGGAGGTTATCAATTTTGCTGAGTGAGTTTTCTTTCTGTTTATAACCGTTTTCAACTTACTGTGCCACCGCACCGATGCGTGCACATGACGTTTCTTGTTTTCACTTTTGTTGCTGTTGTCGTTTTTGTCTTCTTTGTGATCAGTTTCTTTATGCCTCTGCTCCTTACTTTATCTTGGGTCATGTGTTTTCTTTACTACATCAGTATGCTCATGCGGCGCGAACTGCTGTCTCCTCACCCGAAACCGTCCACAACTTATCCAGTCCCATCCAACTTTCGCAGATCCGAGCATGGTGAGTGCTTAGCTTTTTATCAATTATTCTTTGTTCTACAACTGGAGAGCTCTTTGCAGAACCTAGGCTACTATGATCACTTCGTAGGTAAGCGAACAGAAAATCTCTTGATCCAGACCGGTCTTGGCCATGTGACTCACACTTCTTCACTGTATCTCCAATGTACTTGTACGGCCGATATCACCTTCGTGCAATTCACATCCGTTGACATTCTGCATGCTGACAGACATAACCGGGGGTTATAGGACCATTCCCGCAACAGTATTTTGCACTTGCAAAGCCCATGCCGAAGCGTGCAGCGCTACGCACCATTCTACTCAGTAGCGCTTGTATAGCCACTGCGTCAGACCCAAGGAGAACTATGCCGTCACCTGGCAGAACTTCCACTCCCGAAGAGTCTGGGAGTACGGAGTCATTTACAAGCATTTCGAGAACAAAGTTGAAGGGGAAAGGAGATATAGGACAACCCTGACGAACCCCACTTGTTGTTAGAAACTCAGGAGACAGTTTTCCGTAGACACTTGCACGGTCCCGTGAGATACGGTAGAGAAACTGCATAATGAAAAGGAGTTTAGCTTGCAGCATCTTAACAGAAAGCAGGTACCATAAGCCATCCTCGTCAACGGAGTCGAACGCGGCTTTCTAGTCAAGGAAAACCACCATAGTCGGTCGTCTATACTTGTTTATCTTAACGATATCGTCTTGCTGTTTAACGATGTTGGAGCGACCCAGTCAATCCTGGATATACTTCCTAGATTGGTCTCATTATTCGGTATGCACTTCACAGCTTCAAAATGCAGTGTTGTTGCAAGACCACCAGTCACTTTATGCCCCCTAGACTCTTGATGACAAAGAACTCGAGTTAGTTGATCACATCACTTACCTTGGCAACTGCACCGACAACGATGGGCGCATAACGACTAAAATCAATTCACATATTAAAAAAGCCAGAACTACCTTCTTGGGTCTGCAGCATCTTTATCGACAGAAAAAACTTTCCCTCATTTTGAAAATCGCTTTTTACAAGGCCACAGTGAAGGCCGTCCTACTCTATGGGTATGAGACTTGGCCCCTTCAGCCTGTAGATCTCAGGCGTCTTCAGGTTTTTGATCATCGCTTTCTAAAGAGCATTGTTAGTGTCCCATGGCTACAGCGTGTCCGCAACAATGATGGGCTTAGACGAGTACTAGGTAGTGATAACCAAGCTAGTTCCTTAGGAGAACAGCTAGCACTGAATAACTTGCGATGGCTTGGACATGTACTACGTATGCCGCTTACCGCTTATCAAGGATGGTTTGTTGTTTGCGAAATATATTTTGGCGCAAGGCTCGAGGTGGGCAAAAGTTAACTTGGCAGTGAGAAGTGAAGCCACTGACTACAAAACTTAGTACTGTTGGTCCGTCTCGTCCTCCAGACTGATGTTCACGTGACCCGCCTTGTGCTTGGCTCGCGATGTTACAGGACATGACTCGCAGTCGGCACCGGTGGCGAGTCTGCTGTTGGCTCCTAGTCAGACTGCTTGTTTAAAGTGTGTGTGGTGCTGATGTCTGCGGAGTGATGGCTGATTATGACGCGGGGCAGTGAAAGCCGCAAGGAAGCTGTCTGGCCAATGCGCTAGCTGTTTGTGATGGTAGGTTGCTGACAAGGTGTAGGTGCCTTGACCCCGAGTTTTTGTTTAGGGCATTTTGGTTTTACGCTTGGTCACTCTTCTCTCCCTCTTATTGTTCTACGTTCTGCAGGTCACCGTGATGTATGACAGGAAACCATCAAATCAAATGGCTGATGTATGTATGTCTCTACACTAAAACTTGTCGCACGGTAAATATGTGGTCGATACAGCCACTACTAGGGCGGACGCCAGCCTGACTTTAAATGATCCGGCTGTGTTACAGGGAGCCAGCGTACCAGCAAGATTGGATCGATTTACATTTGGAGATCGAACTCAAGCAGAGGTCAAATGCGAATCTATGTGGCTTCAGCAGCAAGTTAAACCTTAACTTGAACTGTTTGAGTTGGGTTAATTGATATTAATTAGCATCTCCGATGTAATGTTTAGTGCTTGCTTCCAACCTATTTATTCTGCTATGCTCTCATGCAAATGGTCCGGCTGGTCTTTGGTGTTCTTATTTCCGTGCGGGGTTGGATTAGTTGCGGGCGGCACCACAGCTTGCGCGGTAGCAGCAGGTTATCCGTGCAGTCAGCGGAAGCCACAACAGGTTCTCACGAGAAATAATAACTCTGCGACGTTTTGCAAACAGTGGAAAAATAGCTGAAGCCTCGATTATTTTTTCACCAACTTCCTCGACCCTTTTGAAGACTGGTTACGACAACCGCCAGTTTGAAGGCGCACGTCCTCAGTTTCCCAGCAAGTGTTGAATAGAGCAGCAACTCCAACCAACAGGAAGTCATCTCCTTTTTTTAATTACGAAGTAAGAAGCTCCTCAGGTCCAGATGCCTTGTTTCGTTTCAACTCGACAAGCTCATATTGAACCTTTTCTGAAGTGAGGGGCGTGATATCAACTTTCTACGTCGGCTCAACTGGTTCTTCAGATGCCAGAGTCACAACAGGTCCGCTCTTGAAAACGTTCTGGTCAACGGACTAGTCGGAGCGGATGCGAACGGATCAACCATCCAACTACCTCAGCTGCTGTCTCACTAACGGAGGGTGCACTTGCACCTGTTTTCCAGAGGAATTGGAACCGTGTTCGGATGTTCCCAATAGCACTAGCTTTCTCCATCTCATAAGTCCTTGTAATTAACCAGCAACTCCTTGTCAGTCGTCGTTTCAGGTCGTTGCGAGTACGCTGAAATTTAGTACCAAGCGCAACCTGTTTAGATGCTTTGATCAAACCGATCAATGCCTCAGATATCCATTCAGCATTAGGAGGTCTTAATTTGGGTGCACAGCAGACTTCAAAAGCAGTCCTCGTGGCAAACTTTGGACGATCCCAGGCAACTTTCGACTCACTAATCTCACTCGCTACTGCTAACTGTGGAATCTGCTCGACCCGACATTGTTGATTTGCTGAGTGTGAGTTCATGTGAGGAGCTCAGAGGTTAGGCGTTTCTTTGAAGCGGGAAGACTGAACGCCATGCGTGCGCAATTGAGCATTGTCTTTATCCAGGCGGGTACTACCTTTCTTTTCCACCTTTTTCTCTTACTCCCATCCCGACCTTCCTTCTATAATTCCCTGATTAATTGACAGTAACCGAAGTGCCACTGGATTAGAACCATCTGCAGCCACCATCCCACCGCACCTACCGGACGCCTATCGGCAAAAGTCCCTTATAAGGCCGCGCTATCCCGTTTCTATAGCGACATTCAACGTTCGCACTCTACGACAAACGGGTCAACAGGCTGCACTCGCACGTGCCTTGGACACACTGGGTATTGATGTGTGTTGTGTGTCCGAAACTAGGATCAATGACCCTAACGGGCTTATTGAATTGACTCCATCCGGCTTATCCTCTCGTTATTGGTTGCACGCATCCGGATACGTCGATGCAGCACTCACGGGTCAAGCTGGTATAGGTATCATTCTAAGCTCTAAGACTGAGCCATCGTTGGTTGATTGGATTCCGGTGAACAGCCGTTTATGTGCAACCCGTCTGACGACATCAGCTATGGTTGATTCAAGAAGCAGTAAAAGACGCTGTTTGTTTGGGATTTCCGCTTATGCCCCCACTGACTGCAGTTCTAATGCAGTCAAGGACACATTCTATCACGAACTGAACGCGCTACTACGCAGTGCTACTAGTTCAGATATTCTAGTACTTGCAGGGGATATGAACGCACAAATAGGGCGTCTGAGCTCTTCAAAAGCTCAGCTGGGTGGTAATTATGGACTTAACTCCGAACGGACTGACAACGGTGAGCGTCTGCTGCAACTGTGTACGGAGCACCAGTTGTTTATTAGTAGCACTGCTTCTAGACACAGTGAGCGCCGAAGTGCCACTTGGCGTCCTCTTGTAGCTGGACAGCGATGGACCCAAATTGACCACATAGCCATAAGCAACAGGTGGCGTGGTTCCATTCTGGATTGCCGCTCGTACTGGAGTACCTGTGTCGACTCTGATCATGCCTTGGTACACTGTGGTTTCTGCATGAACTTTACCGGGAGTCGCACCAAGTGTCCCCTACGATTGGCAACGGAGAAATTGTCTCAGTGCTCGGTCAGGCAAGCCTATCAAGAAGCACTGTATACCGAACTTCTGCTGTATTATCCTAATGACACTGTGCTTCCGTGGAATAGGATCTCGGCAGTCATGCACGACGCAGGAGCATCTGTTTGTGGCACTATTCATCGTCACCACACCAGTCACTGGATATCCGAGATGTCGGTGAACCTGTTGGAATCTAGAAGACACCTCCCGGCTGGTTCTGAACACAATGTGACGAGACGGGCTATTAGGCGTGAACTAAAGCGGAGCGTACTTGTTGACAAGGAAGCCTGGTGGACCAGTCGGGCTCAAGAAATGGAGGAGGCAGGAGCAGTAGACAATTACCGCAAGCTCTTCCAGCTAATCCGCACCACTGGTCCCAGAAATCCAGGCGTCATTGAGACAATCAGAGACAGCGCGGATGCGCTGACACACAATAAGAAGCGCCGTATGGCTCGTTGGGCTGAACACTTTGAAGATCAATTCAGCTGGCCCCCTGCTCGTGGACCTCTTTCTACTCAGGTGATGCAGGAAGAGCCATGGACGGTTAGCTTTGAGCCTCCGTCGGAGGCCGAGGTCAGAAACGCGATCACAGCCCTTAATGGTTTTCGTGCCGCTGGCACGGATTCCCTCCCACCTGCATTATTTAAGGATGGAGGTGAGGTTCTGTGCAAAGCACTGACCTCCTTATTCGTATGTATCTGTAAGTAGGAGAGTGTCCTGGCTAATTGGAGCGAATCGATTATAGTGGCAATATACAAGAAGGGCAGTCGCACAGACTGTGCGAACCACAGGGGTATTAGCCTAACGCCAGTTGTAACGAACTTACTGGCCTCGGT